CACTTTCCAGGGCCAATTGTGGACCAAAAACTGATGAAAAAATGATTGCTTTGTAGTTCGAGTCTGGAGATCCCAGGCTGTTGACCTGTTCAGAAGACAGAGCCCACCTTTTCCTGAATGTAATGGGCCTGCTCCAGCACATCCCTCTAATTTATCTGGTGAAAACCCAGTAGTTCTTTTTTGTCCCTAAGCTGGAAGCTTACCCCTATGTTTTCATACTCCAGTACAGAAAAGGAAAATGTAGATGTCTGGAAAAAAAAATAAAAAATAAAAGTAACTTAAAAAAAAAAAAAAGTGTTGTAAATTAACTTCCACAATACTTTAGCCAAGACTCACATATGCAAAATGTCATCTCCATGGGAGAAGAGCTTGGGCCTCACCAGGAACCTCACCTGGGGAGGAGACTGGTTTGCACTGTATTGGGTGATAAATGCCCGTTCCTCCCCATCTTGTCTTTCTTTTTATACAAGCCTGGAGCACTGGCAATTTGCATTACACAGGAGAGAGAACCCGAGGTGCCAGCCCAGATCCCAGCTCTGCCAGAGGCTTCCTGGCTGATCTCAGGCCAAGCGTTTCATTTGTCAGTCAAAAATTTTGGCTGGAAATAGACCTGAGACATCTTGGCGTAGTTCCCCAGTGGTCTTAAGCTGCTAGGTGATGCTGCTGTCAGCACTGACAGCTGGTATTACGGACCAGGAAACCCGTTTCTCTCATTTTTTGGGGTGTAGCATGTGAATTACAGCCCTTGCTTTCCTGCAGGGTGTCTGTCCATGTAGGTAACACCAGCATCTCAGCAGCACTGCGCTGTGTTTTCCCTTGCTCAGGTGTATTTCCTTGCTCAGATGAGACACCAAGCAATGTGTTAAGGGTCTGGACCTGCTAGGGAACAGGAGTTTGCCAAGGAGAGCTGTGAAGGTATCCCAGGTTATTTCTCTCTCCCTCCTGATATTAGCCAAAAATGCTCTGAGCACTGTGAAGGAGGCTCATCTTCTTCCAAAACGGGACAAGAAGAGAGGGGTCACACACACCTCCTCTCCTGCCCCTTCTGCATTGAATATGAAGGGAACCACTCCTTGCAAGGGGACCGATCATCAGGGCTGCCATCTCCTCCCTGCCTGCACAGATCACTGGAGAACTGGAGATGGGGAAAATTTTCAGGGAATTCACCCTCAAGGTGCTCAGTGCCCACTCCACCAGGAGCTCATCTCTATCCGAGGCCGGCAGCGAGGTGGCTGGAGCCCCCGAGGGCTGGCAAACAGAATTTCTCAATCCCGACCCAGAACGAAGGGGAGGAGGGAAGCTGAACGAAAAATAAATAATTTCTGGCTCCTCTGAATCAAAGCCTGTTACAATCAAAACAGCCCTCCGTCTGCAGCCAATGCCCTGGGGCCTCGTTCGTCAAAAATTATACGCGTGCTAGAAGCCACAGGGCAAGTCTCCTCGGCAGAGAAGACCCTCCTGATGTCAGGCAGTGCTGGGGAATGCTTTTATGCCTGTATCTCTGTCCCAGGCTCTCCTGGAGCGTGTGTGGACTCTTTGTCCAGTGTCCAACCCGGAGTGCGTTAATCCTCCAGCTCTTGCTGCAGGGCTTGTAGCAGCCCCTGCCCATGGGAATGACGGGCTGCCCGAAGGGAAAGGAGCAGAAGGAAATGAGGATTTGGGGGATAAATTGAAACGGGAAGTGGACAAGAGAGCATTGAAGGAGGCTGGCTGGAGAAACTCTCCGCACAAACGCAGGCAATGAGCCTGGTTTTGGTTTTTCTCAGAGTGGCCCGGCGCTACCAATTTCAGGGGAATTATTCCTGATTTACAGCGACATAAATGAGATCCGAAGCAGGTCCTCTGCTCTCAGGAAGCGTATGCACTTAAAGTCCTCCATCTGTCTGTGTGTGCGTGCACACACATGTACACATATGCGCAATGATATAGCAGATAAAATGAGCTCAAAAGTCCCAATGTGACAGGGTAAAGACGGCCCAGCTGACACTTCCCAAAAAGACACTGACCTGTGCTGAATATCTGGACAAGATTTTTCCTTTTCTCAAGACAGGCTTGCAAGCTCCCATTTTCCCTGATGCCATCTCACAGGGTTATTACCATCAGGCAAACCTCCCCGACTCGCTGGCTTGGAGAGGCTGGAGAGGAGATGATAAAGAGACCAGACTTGGCTATTGGGTATTTCAATTCCCCCTTTCACTCTAACTCCACGTTGCTGATATAAAGACATCATTTCTTTAAGCCTGAATATAGCCAAGGTAATATCTTCTTGCGTGTATAGAGTCTGGTTTACTTCAGTGAGCCTTCTGCATTGTCTCCATCCTTCGTAGCCCTCACATAACCCAAAAATAGATTGTAGATTTCGTCAGGCCTCTAACCCCTGTGGACAGGACACTGTAAAGAAAGAGGTGTGAGACAAGTAGGGACCCAGTGACATCCAGAGGTGCCTCCCAACCTCATTTAGTCTGTGCCTTTACAACAGGATGGAGCAAAGACACGACTGATTGTGCCCCAAGAGGCACCGGGCACAACATTTTTCTTGGATTCTCCAGCAACAAGGGCATTTAAATAGAGTCGATTGGATGTTAATGCCGAGATCTGGAAGCAAAAAAAAAAAGCAATAAAAAGAGAAGCTGAGAACAAGCGAGGTGGGAGCTGGAGACTGAGTAACCTTTAAGCCGGTTACAATAGTCCCCCTTGTCTTGCAGCTGGAGTCTGGCCAGGCGGGGTCATGAACAAGAAACTGCTCCCTCCCTGTGCAACGTATATTATTTCATTACTTGGTTTTATTTAATGTGGCCATAAATCCATGTATCCTACATGGCTGGAATGGTCCGGGGTCTTGCTTGTTATTACTGCCTGACCACCTAAAATTGCTGGTGCAAGACGAGGGCCCAGCTAGAGCCAGATGTTTCTCCGTTTAGGCAGTAGAGACAGACGCATTCAAAAGGTGATGCAAGGTACAAAAATTAGGTACAAAATTACAAAAAAAAGGTACGAGGTGAACCTCTCCATGGGCTACAGAGACACCCAAGACTGTTCTGTGGCTAAAATTTGAATGATGAAGCTGGGCCTCAG